CATTCTCAGGAAGTTTCATTTTGGGAATTAATTAACTACTGTGCTGCTTTCTAAAACTGTGATATATTTGACTGACATGGTGTGATAAGTGAAAACAGCCACTATGATTCGTAAACCATAGATTATGATCTAACAGGATGTGAGTACCATGTCAAGCTGTTGCACTGGTGCTTTGGGTTTAGCTGGTCGCGTAAACCCAATTATTAAGGTTTGTGAACAATATCTTATTCCTTAACATAATCTGTGAGCTCATCTTATTGCATTTAATTCCACAAATTAAAGCAAACCATAGGTTAATACATCATGTAAGCTCGAAGAGTAAGACATTAATGTGTCTCACTCAGAAGCAAATCCCAATATATTCAGTAGAATTATTATCATGTAAGAGTTCATACGGCAAGCAAATCTCACAGAGCTGTGAGACTAAAAACCAGAAAGCTTTTTAATCAGTGAAATTGTAGACAAGTTGGAAGGAAAAGAACCAGATATAAACTGCAGTAGCCATTAGAGAAGACTACAAGTCTCATGTTAATAGAGGGCAATAAGCACCGTAAAGTGTTTTCATCCACTTTATTTCATCCAAGTTTATTTCATACAAACTTTCATAATAAACTTATAAACATATAATAACATATAATAAAGATTCTTATCTGGCAATGCCCTAATGTAGTTTCTACTGAGTTAAGTTGAGGAGCCTATATCTATGTCAATGTATTACATATTGCCTTGCCAAAATCACAGAGAACCAAGGGTCTAAAGAGAGATGTTCTTGCTAATATCAAACTTTAGGTTAGTCTAAACAATAATATGATTCAATATCCTGGGCATAGCTCTACGCCTCTATTCAATTAAAAAGAACTTGCTTGCTTCAGAGTTTTTAATTTGAGAGGGTATACTGGCACATCTGGGAAAACCCGAATCTGAGAGTTCCGGGTTTTCCCTCAGTAAATCAAAACCCCCCAAACCATCCCCTCAATCATCAGTCAATCACATATTCCAATCACCATTCTTTCCATCTCAACACAGCACTCCAACCACTCCTTCTCCAAATGCAGGATCGGCCTGACCTTGACCGAAAGGAAGAATGCTATCTTGTCTAAAACTAATCCCTCTATGAAAATCCCCTCCTACTTTCCCATAGTGGCAGTGTGGAAGCTTCCGGCCTAATATGGCTTCCAAAGATGACATTGGCTTTAAAAAGGGACATTGAAATTCTTCTCTGGGCTTTGGTGGAACTGAGCACTCAAAGGCAAAGTAAGACATCAGCAGAATTTTCAGACTACTAGACAACATGTGACCTGCTGGGTCATTGTTTCAGATATATTTCCTTACTTAAACAGAGAAACCGAATGACCAGGGGCAGGCAAAAAAACCCCAGTAAGAATGGGAGCAATGTTCAACTCTCCAATGGCTTCCCCAGTGACTTTCCTTATAGGAAAGTGGCAGGGAGCATTGGAATGATGATCATGTAACCACAACATACAGCAGCACTGAAGCAGCCACAGCTTTGCCAAATTTCAGCTCCCCAGGAGCAGGGGTGAAATCTAGCAGGTCCTGACAGGTTTTGGAGAACCAGTAGTGGAGTTTTTGAGCAGTTCAGAGAACCAGTAGCATAAATTTTGAGTAGTTTGGAGAACCAACAAATACCACCTCTGGCTGGCCCCAGAGTGTGGTGGGAATGGAGATTTTGCAGTATCCTTCCCCTGGGGTGGGGTGGGAATGGAGATTTTGCAGTATCCTTCCCCTGCCACACTCACCTAGCCACACCCACCAATCCCCCCCACGCCCATCAAATCACGCCACAGAACCGGTAGTAAAAATTTTTGGATTTCACCACTGCCCAGGAGTGATAGATCACCATTTCACCCAGGGGAAGGTTACAAACAATCAGACAGTTTTAGTAGTACATTATACAGTTTCCATATCACAGAGTGAAGGAATGCATATCAAAAGCCCCTTTGACAATATTGAGTTCACTGGAAATTAAAAAGAAAATAAAGAAAAATTGTGGTTGTTTGTACTTCAAATGACCTGGAGATAAACACAGACTTTCTATTTTCACAAGTCTCATTCCATTAACTTCTTTTAAACCTATTATTATATTACAGAGACCAAAAAGGTCTTGCTAACACATTTTAATATTTGAAAATGGAAAAACATACTTGGGGGGGAAAAGTACTTTAAAAGGGCATTTTTGTCCGTTTGTGAGTTTATGATAACATTTTAGAGTGTAGCTATGATTAGCGCTGCGTAAAATAAATACCAAGATGAACTGGCTTCCAAGCAAATATTCTTACATCATTATTTTAAACCAGTTTAAAAGATGAAACGATTGAAAGAAGGAATGTGTTGAAAGGAAAGTTGAGTTCACACTAACCAGGACCAGAAAGCTGGGTTTTTTTGAAATAAATAAAATTAATAATAAATATATAAATAAATGGGGGGAAATGCACTTTTGGGTGGGTATTTCAGAGTTGGCCACTGATCATACAACATCTGTGTTTATGAGAAACCATTTAGAGAGCGCAGGAGTTTGCAGAAAATATAAAGAAAGAACTAAACCAAAGACCTAATAATTTATCCAGAAACGTGTCTCCCATTGGTCAGTTTCGTGCCTTAAGAGGGTCACAAGCAGCACATAAGGGGCATGGTCCTGGAAGTAAGATATACTTGTCAAAACTAATGGTTGTCAGGTCAGAGATCATCCTTACAAGCTAAATGTATTGTTCAACTATGCACTGTGTAAAAGAAAATCTTGCTTTTATGTTTCCGAAAATTTTCATTATTAAATTTCATTGGGGACTCTTCAAGAAGGAGGGAAATTAGTTATCTTCTCCCTGTCTCACAGCAACCTTTGATTTCTATTATTTATTGCTTATTAGAGATTATCACTCAACTGACAAGATCTCTTGGCAATTTATTTATGCACATCTGCCATTCGTTTCCTGTTGGCAACTTTCCTTTGCAGGAATTGCTGCAACCCCCTAGTTATTATGTTTTACAATTCCTAGTATGGTGACTAAGCTTTTGGTACTTTTTATCTGATGGCACTAGAATTGTGTATTGAGAGAAGTGCATTAGCAGTTTTGCTTTTTGACTCAAGTGTGCAATAAAGTATTAGAAAAAGCACATAGAGATCCATGCACATACAACACACAAATATTTAATACTATTAAGTATTGTATGGCTGCCTTGATCTTCCAAGGCCTCCCTATCTTAGCAGGGTACATAGAGCATAAATGGTTATAAACACTGACGTATAAAAAAGGGGAAAGTTAGGAACCAACTAGGGTTTTTTTTTTCTTTTTACTTCTTTTTTCTTTTCCTTTCCTTTTCCTTTTTGGTTTTTCTTAATTTTTAATAAACACAAGCAACATTAAGTAACAACACCCAATTGATATCAGTATTAAAAATTAAGCTTAAAATAGAAAGGTTTATTATATAATAAATCATTTGAGCATTTTGCAGTTGTTTATCAAAACTAGATGTATATTTTAAGCAACCTTAAGCTTTAGATCAATTAGGTCTAGAGGTAAAAGCACCAGGCTAGAAAGTGGGAGGCCATGAGTTCAAGTCCTGCCTTAGCCATGTAAGCAAGTTGGGTGACTGGGTGAATATCCCTCAACCCACCTCACAAGGTTGTTGTGGGACAAAGAAAGTAGTATTAGGTAAGTTCACTGCTTTGAGTTATTTTTTAAAAATAATAAAGTTGGGATACAAACAAATATTAACAATAACATCTTAGAAATCATAATTAATGTTGACATAACCCCTTTTTTCTTTCTCTTTAAAGACTTAAACTATCTAAGTCATGCGAGTTTTAATAACCTTTAGACAAATACCATATAAATTCCATTCTATCCAAATAATATAATGCACTACTTGTGTTTAAAATAATACAATAAAAATTTAAAATTATTTTTGCACTGAAATGAATGAGTAATTGATAGACTTTTTAAATCCTTATTTCGATTTTCAATATACACGTTGAATGTATATTTAATATTTGAATCATTGTGCAAAAATTGCACAATAGGATCTACAGTCTGAAAAAGGCTGCTAATCCTGGTACCATACGGTTATTTTTCTCTTTTTCTATGATACTTATGTACACCAAGTTTTTACAAATGCAGCATACAGTTATTTTCATATATATATATATATTTATTTTGATTTATATGCTGCCCTTCCCCGGAGACTCAGGGCGGCTTACAATGCGTTAAGCAATAGCCTTCATACTTTTGTATATTTTATACAAAGTCAGCTTATTGCCCCCACAAACCGGGTCCTCATTTTACCTACCTTAGAAAGGATGGAAGGCTGAGTCAACCTTGAGCCTGGTGAGAATTGAACTCGCAGTAATTGCAGGCAGCTGGAAGCTAAATACTACCTTTTAACAGTAGCATTAGTCTGCTGCGCCACTCAGGCTCTTCCATCCTTCCATCTCCTCCCTATTCACCTCCACTTCATCTCAGTAACATATTCACCTCCCTATTCATCTCCACATCATCTCAGTAACATATTCACCTCCCTATTCATCTCCACATCATCTCAGTAACATACGGTAATCACTGAATATCATCATAGCAAATACATTACTTTAGCCATAGAAAATAATTTTAAATAATTTCAAAGTTTGATTATGTTTCTTGTTTATTTTATTTTTTAACATGCATGAAAATTCTTTGTGCAAATTCTTGAAGAACAGGAGTCGGCTTGAAGAAGAACTGATGCATTAAGGCCACGACGGTTTGTTTTACAAGAGACTTTGTTTAATTTAAACAGATTTTCTCGAAAACAAGGCCATTGACTAGGCATATAAAGCATGCTTGTTTCACATTTAGTTTTTCTTCAGGGTTCATTGGATTTGAGTGTTTTTATTTTAAGTGACCAAAGTATGGCTTGCAATTTTCCCATGAAAATGGTTTTCTCTGCTTGGCTGAGCTTCCTTTGCTTGTTGACCATGTATGTTTTTTTGCTTTCTTGCCTCCCCAATCCAGTGGATGACACTGTTGTTGTTATTCCCTACGGAAGTCGTCATGTTCGCCTAGTGCTGAAAGGTCCTGATCATTTATGTAAGTAAAAATACGCTTGTTATATTGAAATACTTCTAATAACCTTTGGAACTCTTATTTCAAACAAGGCTGTATGGCTCCTTTATTTTAGGGAGATTGAAACATGAACAAGGGGCTTTGTATATGTATAGAGAGTCCATATCTGGGCCGCAAAAGTCCAAATGACCATTAGATGCCATCTTTTTGCTTAATTTTTAAATTTTATTTTACTGTGATTTCTTTGGTTGATTGTTGTGAGCTGCGCAGAGGCGTTGGATCAGGCAGCATACAACTTTAAATAATACCAATAATAATAATACCAACTAGGATAATCCAAATTTGTAAGAAAGTAGAGTGTGTTCTAAAACTGGTATCTGATTTTCCACTCAGTATGTTAGTGCATGTGTGCATACATAATTTCTGTAAAATGTGTTTTTTTGTTGATAAGAATATAATAAAAGCTACCATGGTATTGAGCTGAATTACTGACGAATTTACCACATTGTTCTTATGCTTACCTTTGTTTCATAGAGCAAAGGGTAAAGGAATCAACCACCAGATTGTGCTATTAAAGGATAGAAAATAAAAATGTGGAATGAAAAAGGTTGAGAGCTATATAGGTCTTCAGTTTACTGAATTAGAATGTGATTGACAAGAGTTAGGATAGGGCCAGTGGTGGGATTCTACTGGTTCTACCCGGTTCGGGTGAACTGGTAGCGGCAGGGGCGGGAGGCTCCACCAACCCGCCCAGACGTCATCACGAATGCTCTGCGCATGCCCGGAAGTCTCTGCACATGCACAGAGATGGCGCACACAAGTGAAGCTTGCGCGCACAAGTGGTGGGTTTCAAAAATTTTTACTACCGGTTCTGTCGGTGTGGCTTGGTGGGCGTGGCATTGCTTGGTGGACATGGCTTGGTGAGCGTGGCAGGGGAAGGATACTGTAAAATCTCCATTCCCACCCCACTCCAGGGGAAGGTTACTGCAAAATCCCCATTTCCTCCCGATCAGCTGGAACTTGGGAGGCAGAGAATAGATAGGGGCGGGGCCAGTCAGAATTTTTACTACCAGTTCTCCGAACTATTCAAAATTTCTGCTACCGGTTCTCCAGAACTGGTCAGATCCTGCTGAAACCCACCTCTGGCGTGTACGCTCGCATTTGTGAACCAGTAGCAAAGGTAAGTGAATACCACTACTGGATAGAGCATGTATACATAGTAACCATTATTGAAAGACAAGAGATAATCTAAATGTAAAGCAAAAATTGTGGATAAATCTAAATTTTGTTGGCATTTGAAGTTCATTCCTCCCACATTGGAGGCTCATATTAAAAATATACTGATTTCTTACTTGGAATGTGTAATGATAGGAAAGAGCAGAAGAAGCTTTTCGTGAGATTCTAAGCAATTGCTTTCTAACTCCTTTATGCTGCCTGTACAGATAAAATGTTGTATGCAACATATCTTTTTCCAAGTTACTTATGTGTGATTCCTAACCTTGTTTGGCTTCAATACAATATATGCCACTCTCAATGTATGCATAGAATTCTGAATGGCAGGTATATTCAACAAGTTTCCTATGTCCCTTTTTCAATGGAAGAGTTAAATGAAGTTTTTTCTCGAATTCTACAGAAACTATTGTACAGTCCTGTACAGAAGCTGTACAACATATAGATATTTTAGATTAGGATATGTCTTTCAGAACTAAAAAGACTACCCAATCCTATAGATTAGAGACAGTAAACACTTGCAGCTGGTTGTCAGCTTTAAGATAAGCAATAGTAAAACTCTGAAAAGGCAAAAACTTTTTTTAAAAAAAAAAACCCTTTCATGCTGCCATAATTAAGGACATTTTATGATGGGTTATATATGGATTATATTCTATGTGCTCTTGATAAACTACCTTAGGTACATACAATTTGTTCTTGGGTGTAAAATGTGTAATTGTGAACATTTATCAGTAGATTGTGAGTTATAAACTATGAAAGAGGGGAAAATATGTAATATTTGCCTACAAGATAGAACAGTAAGAAATAAATATTATTTTGAGAATGCTTAGCCTGTACTCCTGTGGCTCTTATTTGCCATGCGTGCTGTTTCTCAGACTAATAAACATTATCATTTTGGTGCTCTGCTACCAATGGAATTAAGAAGAGCAGGAGAAAGAAACATTTACAGAAACCAGTGTCTAGAAATACAAGAGAGGGAACAAGTATTTTCCACTGGATTAGGGCACGATTTTTGTCCTGATGTGGTTTGTTACTTTTACCCCTGTATTTAGTCATAGAGTAAGAGGGGGGTGGAGTTACAGTATGATGTAGTTGTATCATGATGCATAAGTTTCTGTGTAGAACTATAATAGTTGAGCTGCCACCGTCTGGCTACTATTAGATAACTGCAAGGCTTAGAAAGACCCTGAAGCAGAAGCCGCCAATCTTTTGGGAACCAGGGACATGGAGAGAGGTTTTTCCGCAGACCAGAGGGTACATGGTTTTGTATGCTGCTTGCATCCCGTGGATGGGGCTTCTCTTGTTTGAGTGGCCTGGTTTCTGGCAAGCCGCAAACTGGTGCCAGCCCATGGACTGGGGGTTGGGGACCCCTACCCTGACGGATAAGTTCAGTGTTGTAGGGTAGAAATTAAATTCCAATAAATCTTTAAACAGAGAACCAGTTTAAAAGCTGTGGCAGTATTGCAGGCTATTTCTGCTGGCTGCTGGCTGCCTGCAATTTCGAATGTCACCAGGCTCATGGTTGACTCAGCCTTCCATCCTTCCGAGGTCAGTAAAATGGGGACCCAGATTGTTGAGAGCAATATGCTGACTCTGTAAACCACTTAAAGAGAGCTGTCAAGCGATATATAAATCTAACTGCTATTAAGGTAAAGGTAAAGGTTCCCCTCACACATATGTGCTAGTCATTCCCAACTCTAGGGGGCGGTGCTCATCTCTGTTTCAAAGCCAAAGAGCCAGCGCTGTCCGAAGACATCTCTGTGGTCATGTGACCAACATGACTAAGTGCCAAAGGCACACGGAACGCTGTTACCTTCCCACCAAAGGTGGTCCCTATTTTTCTACTTGTATTTTTTATGTGCTTTCGAACTGCTAGGTTGGCATAAGCTGAGACAAGTAACGGGAGCTCACCCCATTATGCAGCACTAGGGATTCGAACTGCTGAACTGCCGACCTTTCAATCGACAAATTCAGCGTCTTAACCACAGAGCCACCGCGTCCCTCAGCTAATTGCTATTACTATTGCTATTAACCCATTGAAAGTGTACTGTAGTTGCAATAGCAATATAACATTAATTGACTTATCAAAGGTTCTGAATGTGTTTAGATTTTTTTTTCTTCCATTCAATCATATGTGGTTCTCAGACACTGCCTGGACAAGTCCCTGCAGTTTCCTTGGAAAAGTTTTTTAGATGTAGTTTGCCATTGCCTCTTTCTGAAGGCTGAGAGAAAGTGGCTGGCCCAAGGTGACCCAGCTGGCTACATGCCCAAAGCAGAAGTAAAACTCATAGTCTCTATTTCTAGCCTGAGGCTTAACCACTACACCAAACTGGCTCTCTGTTTCGATAATAATTCTTCCCTATTCATTTCATGTTCCCTAAATAGATAGTAATGGTGATAAATGAAAGAGCAAATGTATTAAAGAAAACAATTCAATACATTAAAGTATGCATTACATATGTCAGTAGGCTTTTGCAAGAAGAGAAGAGATAGTGTGCACAATTAAAATGGAGTACAAAGGCAAAATTAGCCAATCTGGGGCATCACAAGCAATGAGTATTTATTATACTGATCATAGATAAATTTTTACAATGTAAACTTCCAAAATGCAGACTAATTTGCATCTCATAAAAAGATATTTAAAGACCTGTGTTCTGTCAGACGAGCACAATTCAAAACGCACTGATGATGCCTCCTCGAATGGTGATGAAAAGTTTGCAACCATATTGTCAAGCTCAGAGCTCAAACCAACAGCCTTACACAGTTCATTTAGTGACCATTCAAAGTTGCAACAGCACTGAAAAAAGTGGCTTATGATCTTTTTTCACACTTATGATCATTGCAGCATCCCTGTGGTCACATGATTAAAATTCAGAGGCTTGGCAACAGACTCAGTATTCGGGAGGCCGATCCAACCGCCAATCAGTGCTTGTGCTAAATCAGGCTGTGCTGAAGCTGACCAGGCTGTTTGCTATTTGCTGCAAAGAGGCAAATTGCTGGGAGGCAGAGGCCGAAGGGTGGGGGCAGGCAGGCGGGCGGGGCTTCAGCAACATTCACTCTATAAGACGCACAAACATCACCACCCACTTGGGGGGGGGCATCTTATACACTGAAAAATGCTCTATATCTAAACTGTTTTGAGTTTGGGGCTACTATTCTCTCTTCTGCATGGCTAAGTCCAAAGAAACTGAAACACCACTACAAGTGCTAGCTCTAATGGAAATAGTTCTGTCTTACACAATGCAATAGATTAGTAGGTTAGATAGAAGCAAAGTGAAAACCAGAGAGAATGGTATAAAGTGAACTGGATAAAGCATTAATAACATGCTCAATTAAATTAAAACAAATAATGCTTTATATCTAGTGTTTTTCTTGACAATTTTATTCCTTTGTGCCAATGAAACAATGGTGTGTGACTCTTCCAATTGCTTGTATTTGTCAGATCTAGAAACCAAAACTCTGCAAGGTGTGAAGGGCGAAAACAGTCTCAGCTTCACTGGATCCTTCATTGTGGATAATTCTTCTGTTGAGTTTCAGAAGTTTGCAGACAAAGAGATATTGAGGATACCTGGTCCTCTCACTGCAGATTTCACTGTAAAGGTGAGAAGCTTTGAACAACTAACAAACAATAATACTTTGCAATATTTATGCCTGCTTTGTGGTAAGTAGGCTTATGACCAGCGGTGAAATGCTACCAGTTCAGACCAGTTCACTCGAACTGGTAGCGGCGGCAGGTGGTTCGGAGAACCGGTAGCAGCGGCAGCACAAGGCTCCACCCACCTGCCCAGGCGTCGTTACTTCCTGATTTTAACCTGTTTTTTTCCCTCTGCACATGCGCAGAAGGCTTAGCACATGTGCAGAGGGTCCAAAATCGCATGTGATGCATGTGTGGAGCGCACGCGCGTGGAGCGCACACTTCCAAACCAGTAGAGAAGGTAAGTAGATTTCACCCCTGCTTATGACATTGTCTCTATTTATTATAACATTCAAGACTATGTTTCTCCTGCAAGTAAAATGTGCTATTCTAGGATGCCAAACACTTACTACTACAGGTAGTCCTCGACATATGACCAAAATTGATCCAAAAAATTATGTTGCGAAGTGAGAGATTTGTTAAGTGAGTTTTGCCCCATTTTACAATCTGTCTCACCACAATTGTTAAGTGAATCACTGCAGTTGTTAAGTGAATCTGGCTTCCCCATTGACTTTGCTTGTGATAAGGTCGCAAAAGGGGATCACATGACCCAAGGATGCTGCAACTGTCATAAATATGAACCGGCTGCCAAGCATCTAAATTTTGATCCCGTGACCATGGAGATGCCGCAACAGTCATAAGTGTGAAAAACGGTCATAAGTCACTTGTTTCAATGCTGCTGTAACTTTGAATGGACACTAAATGAACAGTTATAAGCTGAGTTGCCTGATTGTCAGAGGCATTTAAAAGAAAAAAGCCTCTGCTGATCAGGCAACTCAGCTGGGATTGTCAGAGCCTTTTGAAAGCATTTTTTTACAAGCTCTTCGCCGAAGAGGTTGTAGAAAAAATAGTTTTAAAAGTAAAAGAAAAAGAAAAATGGCCATGCCCACCCAGTCACATTACCCCACCATCACCAAGCCACGCCCACAGAACCGTAGTAACAAATTTTAGATTTCACCACTGCCATAAGCAGATATGTTGCACTAAATCATCACATTATATTAGACCTCTGCTGTTTGCCTTCCCCATCTCCTCAACGTTTCAGAACTACTACAGGAGAATAATTCAGGAAAACCTCTTGAGTTGCTAAAGAAATTAGGAGAATTAAGCTTTGCAGTTTGTTACAGTGAGCGAGCCAGCTTTGGTTGAGAAATCAACAGATAGCTTAGAAGCTCTGTTTTGTGTAGAACTGGCAGTAAGAATCAAATTATTTCTTCCCACTAATGTTTTCTTCTCATTAATTTTCGCCTCTTCCAAGTAATTGAAAACACATTGCTGAAAGTAAAATACACATGCTATAGAGAGGCTAAGAGGCGCAATGGAATGTAAACCTTTGAGAATTACAAGATAATAAAACATTTTAGAGCAGATGAAGGTGGGACAGAAGGGCCTGGAGATTTTAAGATATAAGCCGTAGGATCTGTATCAGGTTTAGGGTATCATAATTTTTCATTGAGGACTCCCAACAAAAATGGTTTGATGCCATGATCATTAACGGATAGAAATGTAGATTATGCTGCAAAGGGAATAGGTGATGGACAGTGCCTGTTTCATTGCTACATGGTTTAAACACCAGGACTAGGACCGTTGGTGTTTCTGTCTTCCAGTTTGATTCCAACGTTATTGGCAGATCAGTGGTCAAGCAACGTAGAAGTTTTTATCCCATCATAAAGTGAAGCCGAGGCAGGAATTCCTCTTCACCTAGAAGTCATGGGTTGAGAAAAACGGTTTTAGTCCATCCCATTCTTCAGCTAGTCTTGGCCAATCTGTGTGAAGCAGAGTGAATGAGAATGTGTAATTATACAACCTTATCTTTTGGGAAATTAGATTGTTTGGCTAGGTAGTTAATCAGTGATTGGATACGTAGTTAATTAGTTAGTTGGTATTTGCCAATCAGGAATAAAATGGATAGATATTAAAGTATTTGTAAAGTACTCAGCGCCCTTAAGTGATGGCCCATTTTTTTCTCTCTGTGAATATTTTCAAGTAAAAGGAGTAAAGTAATTAATACCAACTTTGTTGTTCAGAAGATTTTGCCAGATATGGATTGAGATGAAGGAGATAAAGTGTAGATGAAAATTTTGTAACTCCTTGAGGTCTTTCTTCAGCAGAAGGACCACAATTGAATATCACACATTCTATTTATCTGGCTATGCTAGGCTGAATTTTATGGATTTTATAAATCCAGATAGCTTCAGTTGAATCTGGATGTTACTTTTTATTTTCATCCATTTCAATTTGGGCTTCCATACAAGATATATTACTCAGCCTGTTTCAGTTGCTTGGTGAAATGGCCTATGTTGAGCCCAGGAAGAGAGAGAGAAAGAGAGCATTTCTGATAATTTTCCTATATATCTCCAATGTTTGTTGGTATATTAACCATGATGCCTTTTTGGATCATCCGGCAGGATTAAGCCAGTAATGAAATCCAATTTTTTTTGCTACCGGTTCCGTGGGTGTGGCTTGGTGGGCGTGGTGTGGCTTGGTGGGCATGGTTTGGTGGTCATGGCAGGGGAAGGATACTGCAAGATCCCCATTCCCACTCCACTCTGGGGCCAGCCAGAGGTAGTATTTGCTGGTTCTCCGAACTACTCAAAATATCCGCTACCGGTTCTCCAGTGCCTGTCAGAACCTGCTGGATTTCACCCCTGGATTAGGCCTTGAAGATGCTGTTTTGTAGTCATTTTTATCTTTCCTAGGTGCTGCAGCTTGTTCCTCAAACCCTCAGCAGACATCCTGAGGAAACTTTAGGGTCCCAGCTTTTCCTCCATACTGTTCAATGTCAGTCATAGCTATAGAATGGACTGGAGTTGATAATGAACAACAATTCAGCTCTTGTTCTTATAATCTGAAAAATCTGGATGGCTACTGATTAGTTATTCCTCAACTAGGAAATGTTGCCTGATTCATAGGTCACTTTGTTGAAGGTGACTTCCAAAGTTGCTGTCACTCAGGGACCTATTTGAATCTCTCCTATGAGAAAATTAGTTATTTACAAATCAGTATGATATTTAATGAAATATTACAGCTATTAATTCAAAAGGAATGTAAGGAGTGGCCTAGGCGTTCTGGTGTTTAATATCCCCCAAAATACGATAAATTATCTAGAAACAAAGAAGAAGACATCAGTTGCTTCAGGATTTTTAGGATTTATATATCGTGGTGAAGTTTTTATACTCAGTCAATGAAAGGGAATTCATGCACATTATTTAATGAAAAGCATCAGGTAACAATTCATAACTAATACCGATATTCACTCTTATTCTTGCTTTGGCTTTTGGGATAGTTTAAATTTCTAAGAGCAAAAATAGCCAAAAATGTTTGATTTAAGTAGGAAATGTAAGCAATCAGGTTTAGAATCAGCTGGTCAGTATCTGATATTCCCCCCTCTCCACCTCTACTGCCGACCCCAAAAATACTTTCTCACCAAAGTTCTGTCAGTTTTGTAATCATCATATTCCATCCCATGCATCTTTTTTGAAACAATAAACATCAGTTTGTCTGATTCCTTTCCTCTCATTCACCTAGCAATGCTATTTTTTCCTCCATCTGTGGTTACTTGCAACATATTCCCACCCAAGAGTGTTGGGGTTGGTAGTACAGGCTATACAGTATGTATAATTTCCCATTTCGTTTGGGAGAAAGATCTGCATCTGTCTTTTTTCCATGCCAGAGAAGACAGATAATCAAGCAGACAACACAACAAAAATCCTTGGGGAGATAGGTTGTTATGTCTTCCCAACTTTTGATGTGGAATTTCCCAATCCTTCCTCTCAGGCCCCATGTAATCTCTCTTCTCATTTATTTTGCTCTGCCTGGGATCTCACAAACATGAATTTTTTAAGGTTCAGGCAACACTATTGATGGTATTCTTTTTTTCCCTTTTTCTTTTCTGTTTAGTTAGCATTTTCCCTCTCCAATGCTGTTGTTAATCTTTATTTATACTGGAAATTTCAAAGAACTAAAAGCATTGAAAGCATGTACATGTCCCTGGATTCGCTTGTACTTTCCCGTCATCCCAAATCCATGTGTGATTCATGTACTTTCTGTCTTATGCAAGGAATTAAAAACCTTTTGCTGAGCAAAATGGTAGTTATCCATACAAGAGGCCTCCTTCACTGCGTAGGAAACATGCAATGTTTCAGCTGTAGCTCCTTTTTTCCTTCTGGGAATATATATCACTATTAACTTGATTAAAAGAAAGCTGCAGGCTCTCATCAGTAGACTAAAACTTTTATATCCTTCAACATGTCTCAAGTACTTTTGCCTTCCTCTTTTATGACCTCTTGCTTTTTTTTTCTTTCTTTCTTTCTTTTTTTTTTTTTGCAACCTAAGGATTCTGAGTTTTGTTATTGTGTTTTTCTTCTGTTTTGGAGGGAAAAAACCAAGGCCATTTCTTCTCCAGTAGTTTCCTTTTTTTTTTCTGATTTATTTCTTTGTTTGTTTGAACAATAGAATGGTTTTTGAACCAAGGGAATAAACACTTGGTTTATACAGATACAATCATGTAAACTCAATATTATCTACGTCAGCTTTTCCCAAATCCATACAGGGGCAAAAGCCACATTGGTTGGACATCTTAGGCCTCGTTTCCAATGCACATACATCAGTTTGTTAATATTTGTCTGCATTGACCAGCAGAAGTTTCTCAGGTAACTATAAGTAAATCTTTCCTGAAAATCTTTTTTCCAGCCCTATCGGGAAGCATTTGACAACCTATGATCCATATCGTTGATTTTTGGTTTGACGGCTTTCTTTGAGTGTACTTTGCCAAAACATCTCTGACAGCTTTTAGAAAAGCATTAATTATCAGCATTAGGAAGCTGATAATTCAGATGTTTTTATTTGCTTCATTATTTATCTAGAATAGTTTTAAGAGATAATATTGTTCTGGACTAATGATTTTATGTCCCCCCCCCCCACCAAATAGAAAGGTTAACCAATCATGATAAAAATTATTACCTATTATAATCTAGGAGCCACCCTGCAAGATAGATGACAGGGCTAAAAAGATTATCGTGTTCATAGCATAAAAGATTACCGTGTTCAAGTATTACACTGTATATCTATTTAAATATTTAATTGCTATTTCTCTGTTTGGGGAACCCCTTTGCACAAGTGTTGAATTTATGCTTCTTGATATCGAAGTTGCTTATCTGAAGATAAGGGTGGAGGACAATTACAAAGTAATTCTACATTGTTATGATAATCTGTTTTAGAAACCATTGTTCTAGTTATATCTGGATTACAGACTGATAACTTTACCTGTAGCTTTTCGTTTTTTTCAGATTCATTACGTTGGTGCTGCTGACAGTACAGTTCAGTTCATTTTCTATCAACCTATTATCCACCGATGGAGAGAAACTGATTTTTTTCCTTGTTCTGTATCCTGTGGTGGAGGTAATGAATATAACACTCTTTTCTGCACTGTAATTCTAAAAAATACTGATATACATCACCAAGTTTGTTCAAGGTGACTTCCTAAATTACTGTCAAAACTTCACCAAGTTTTCTTCTTATTTTTTTTATGGAACTTCCTTCCATCCTCCCTCCCTCCCTTTCTTTTTTGTAAATATTTGTAGTCTTTATTTTGAAGTTGTGGAAGTGCTGATTTGTCTTTAATTACCATATGTACAGTACAATACAGCTACCTCCAGAAAGATCTTCAAAGAAAAAGTTCTCATCTCATTTGCAGTCTGCTCTTTTAAAATAATTTGTATTTTTCTAAAGGCAAAATGGAAAAGTGACTGATTATTAGACAGCTATATAAACCCTAAGTTTTAATAGCAATAACTATTTATCTTGGTTTGTTTCCTTATTCATATCTATCTATCTTTTCCTAATTATTCCACATTTATAAAATTACTGACTACAATTTAAAAATGTAGTTCCTTAAGGTACCAGTAATTGTTATATACTCAAATTTTCTGTGGTGAAAGAGGAGTTGAAGTCATGCATTTTGTTTAATTTTTTTTTTAAAAAAAACACCATTTCCTAATTGCTGCCTACTTTAATAAGGAGAATACATAAACCCATGACAGGACCGGAGAGGTAATCTCATGCCGGGGTCGGAGTTTATAATATGAATAATGCTGTGCAAAGAACAGGTTCATAGTTTGGAACTGCTCTTTGACCCTTGATCACTCTGGATCTTCCCATGAAAAATGACAGTGGCAAGGAATTGTCACTACAGTACATCTGGTACATCCGTTGTTATTATTTGGTTTGATCTGGCTGAGAAGTTTTAAAAAGTCATCCCTTTACTGCCCAGGTAGCATTACTATCATTTTATCAAGACAAAAAGTTTGTTTTTACTGATTCTATACCATATTCATCTCAGACCTGTTGCCATATGCTAAATAAATAAATGTCAGATCTGTAGCTTGCTTAAAGCATGACATCCAAGTTATTAGTTGTCCTAAATCAAATGAAGGGGGAAAGCTTAATACCTTTTCGTGCATACAGAGCACTATATATAATGACTTCTTAGTGCGTTTAAAAGCCTCTGGTTTGACCTTCCCACTAAAAGTTTAATAATTTTTGAAGACTCCATTTCATTCTAATAATTGTCACCACAGCTCATAAATAAAACCTCAGAGGGAGCTATCCAGCCTTTGTGGTCAAGGATAGCAGCACCTTCTCTGCAGAAAAGACAATTGGCTTCTGGTAATTGAAATGAGATAACCACAGCTGATACTCCCATATAGGAAATTAGAGATGGGGAATGAGAAAAATGCACAGAAGGAGGCTTCCATTGAAGAATGCAAAGCTGGGCTTCAAGGGAAAAGATAAATCACCCAGAACTTATGAGTAGTTAGGGAGATCTTGTGCTTTCTTTTTTATTTCTTTATTATGTTCATTTTCTATACTTGCTCTTAGAAGCTCAAGATTTGTACAGGAGAAAAAAAAAGCAACCTGGCGCATTAAATCACTAAAAGAGAAGCATAAAATATCACATGGGGTGAACTAAGTAGAAGCAAGGAATCATCTTTCATATGCGGAGAGCAGAGCCAAATTACAAATGACACCACTTCTACCAACTGCAAACAGAATTCATCAACTTTGAATGATAATTTATATGTATTTGATTTACCTTTAAGTTATGCATCTGAAGTTAAAGATATGTAATATAGTATATGATATTTGAATGTTATTCTTAAGATGTATGTTCAGGTATGAACATAACTAAGTGAGCAGTCATAGAGCCCAGAGCTGTATTTAGCCCCCAATTCATTTGCAGCTTAATGATAATGGATGGAAACTGGTCCAGTGTTGCTCAGGAAAACAGTCATTAAAATAGATTTAAGATACATAATAAAACAACAAAAACACCAATAACTAGCTAACTGTGTGTGTGTGAGAGAGAGAAGAGATGATTTGTACTTGAGTATGTTTGTGTGTGTGTGTGTGTGTGTGTGTGTGTGTTGCATACACTAGTTCATGTAACAGAACCTCATTTCTACCGTCCCCTACGTACAGTGGCCCTTAGCTTCATCAAAAGTTTTAAAGTATTGTTTCCCTGAGTTGCAACACTGCCATTACTGTTTATTGTTTAAAAACAAATCTTATTTGTTTTTTTATTTATTTTTCATTTTAAGGTGTTTTTATAAGAAAAATTTACCATGGGAAAATCACTATCGTACATTGGCTATAAATCAACATGCTTTTAATTGTAAGATCCTCTAATGAGATATCTTATACTAGCAGATATGGTTATGCTTAGCCTTAGAAGGTGTATGTGCTGTGTTATAGTTTTGCATTACAAACCATAAACGACATTTCTTGCAGGAATGTTACTATATCAAGTTACAATCAGTCTGTCCATCTACATACTACTACTCCTCTCCTATCTGTTTGTAACCTTCAATTAGCCCAAACAGTGCGTCACAGCACAAATTTTTATGAATCAAGATGTCTCAAACCTGCTAACTGAAAACAATGATGCAAAATCTAGGACCCGTTATTCCTGTGTTGAAATACCCAAGGCAGGGGTGGGTTCTATTTACCTTTACTATTGGTTCGCAACGGGAGCGTGCGCAGATCACCCTTGTTGACGTCGGGGCGGTGGGCGAAGCCTCCTGCCGGTTTTACTACCAGTTCTATAGAACCGGTCAAACCCGGGAAGAACCCACCACTGACCCAGAGTCGTCATACCAGTTGTATTCGCAAAATTGTGGCTGCTGTAGCCTCACCACAGTCAGTTGCCGCCACACGATTGTAATTTCCAATGCTCCCTGCCAGTTTCCCACAATCAAAGTCAGTGGAGAAGCCTGCAGGAAGTTGAAAGTCACCCGCATTCCCACTGCTTTTTTGCCCATCTGTGGTCCTTCTGTTTCTCTGTTTCGGTAAGGAAAGAATGACTCAGTGGGTTGCCTCGTGGGACCTGATTGTTATTCAGATTAGTAGACAATACTTGCTTGTTGATGTGGAACTGCATAGCTGTCTTTATCTTTACCCAGTCTGCTTTTTTTTTTTTAAGGTTATCAGCTTACATCTGCTGAATGCTACGATCTGAGAAGCAATCGAGTGGTAGCTGACCAATATTGCCACTATTACCCTGAAAACATCAAGCCAAAGCCAAAACTCCAAGAGTGTAACCTAGATCCTTGTCTGGCAAGGTACATCAGTTAACAATTTTGAGATGCCGTTTATACTGAAATGCAAACAGGTTAATTATTCTCTTTTTATACTTTTCAGAGATTTATTAAGATTCCTTAGTAGAATGTGGATAGAATGTTTGTGTTGCATTTGGCCAGCAGCAACAACAACAACAACAAAAGTGTGACTCACTATTTATCAAGAGCTAATACTTCCTCAACTAGCAAACATCTCTAGAGCTGTAGAAAACTAACATGACATAAAAGTCAGTGTGGAAGACAGATTCACTTAACAATCCTGTTACTAAATTAAGAACTACAGTGATTCACTTAAATGTGGCAAGAAAGGTCGTAAAATAGGGCAAAATTCACGTAACTATCTCGTTTAGCAACAGAAATTTTGGGCTCAATTGTTGTAAGTTGAAGACTACTTGTAGTAATAATAATTTAGAAAATGAACTAAGCCAGACGATTCACAGATTATACAATGACAGGAGAGGTTTGCAATAAAAAGGGGTTTTAAAAGTAATATTTTGTATTTTTAAAACATTTCAGTACAATTTGTAATTGTATTTTATATTGATATTTCAGCTTAAAAGTTGAATTAAAAAGGAAAGTAAAAAATAGAACAATATGGAAAGAGATTGTACATACAGGAGATATTTAAATTTAAAGCACTATTGAATTCAAAGAAATAACATGAGCCAAGAATATATAGCCACAGAAAATATATATAAAAAGGATGAACAGAGCAGTATGAATAGTTTTGCTTTCTGCAGTTTCACTGAAAGAAGTTCCTATGGCCCACAGAAAATATATTGCATGCCATATAAGCCCCACACAGCATTGGACTGGGAGAAATATATATATATATCAGGTACAAGACTCGGTTAGAGTACAGATACGACCCACGCTCTGAATTCTGAACAAGCCTTATAATTAGAGAAATGGAGCCCAGGTAATGTATTTGCAGATAAACACCTGGCTTTCCAAAAAAGATCAAAGCAGATGTAGATAATCCCTTTTGTCATTATTGTTATATAACAGATGACTTACGTATTCCATTTATTTCTGAGAATTTATCTTTTTATTTTCCGATTGAATTTTGTACCCAGGCTTGATAATTCAAAGGCAGATATGTTAAGATAGGTAGCTACATGGTGCAGGCTAATTAAGAGATGGGTAGAAAGAGAGATTTTAAAAATCCTTTTCGATAGATACTAGGAGTAATGCACTACAGATCTGTGTGGTTGAGAAGGTTTCGGATTGTGTACAGGTGATTGGGAGAGAGTGGACGGTGAGCATACAGCAATGTAAAAAAAAAAAACCTGAATACATGTGCGAACAAATCAAGATGGCACTGATTGGCATTAAAAAGAGAGGCATTATGTATCTTTTAAAAGCACAAATGCAATATTGAGAAAGACCTGTGTGACTTTTGGCAACTCAGTTCCAGTTTAAGATGAGGTAGCAGATGTAGAATCTTGTAGTCGAGTGAATCTCTTCCTCTTTAATACATTTATGTCAACAGTTTATCCCTTGCATTGGAGACATGATTGTCATTGTGCAAGGCTAAAGTTTGGCATGGCTAAAGATAATTTAATGTTATGTTCTTTGCAGTATGAACTTCATTACCAGTAATTTCGATTCTGGCTTTTTCAAGGCGAGGTAAGGAAGGAGGGTGTGAGTGGGAAGATTCAGGAATAGTTAACACTTCTTCGACACAGAGCATAAGAGCTGTGTGCCCTCTCTTAGAGAAGCCATATCTCAATCCAGCCTTATATGAAAACTATTATCTTGTCTCCAATCTACCAATTTGGAGAAGATTGTAGAGAAGAAAGTGGCCAAAGAGGGCCTTAGATGAAGTAGATTATCTAAATCCTTTTCAGTTCAGATTCAGACTGGACATGGAATCAAAGCAGCAATTATCATTCTGGTTACATGATCTATATCAGAACCTTGAAGATGATAATTTTCCTGCTCCTGATAGGACTTCCAGCAACTTAAAATAGTATTGACCATATTTATGTGGGATCCTTTCCTACTGTAGTAGTGGTTCCAGTCAATACTTGGGTAGGGAGGAGGCACAATTTAACCAAGGGCTCAATTTTCTATCCTGCTACTGCAGTGGTGAAATGTAAAACTTGTTACTACCGGTTCTGTGGGCGTGGCTTCATGGGGTGTGTGTAATATGACTGAGTGGGCGTGGCCAACTTTTTTTTTTTTTACTTTTAAAAGCATTTTTTCTACAACCTCTTTGGCTGAAGAGGTTGTAAAAAAATGCTTTTAAAGCCTCTGACAATCCCAGGTGACTTGTCTGATCGGCAGAGGCTTTTTTTTTTTAAAGCCTCTGATGATCCCAGCTGAGCCGCATGATCATCAGAGGCTTTTTTTTTTTTTTACTTTTAAAGACATTTTTTTTGGCCAAAGAGATTGTAGAAAAAATGCTTTTAAAAATTAAAAAAAAAGCCTCTGATGATTGCGCGGCGCAGCTGGGCAATGGGGGTGGCAGGGATTTTTGCTACCAGTTCTCCAAACCACCCACCCTCATCGCTACCGGATCGGATGATCTGGTCCGAACCGGGAGCATTTCACCCCTGTACTACTGTAACAACTATATGAAACCACTAGGGATGGCCAACCATCAGTTTGAAGTAAGGTATCATTACATTTTCACGCCAGTTTCAGTTTATTATTTTGTGTTCAGCTGTTGGGAGACAGCTGCCCATAATTTTTTGACTGTCATCTCTGACCTGGATGGAGTGGTACTTCCCCATTCAAGAGTGGTGTGCAACTTGGGGGAAGGCTTCCCGGACTGTCAGGTCTTGCTTAAACAACAGGTGCCAGCTGTGGCCAGGAAGACCTTTGTGCAGCTCCATCTGAAGTTGCACCCTTTCCTAGATTAGGAGACCCTTCACAAAATAACTCATTCCATTGTTCACCACATGGCCATTCCCTGCAATGCACTCTGGGTAGCACTACTCTTGAAGATGAGCTGGAAGTTATACAGTAGCTGTTCCATAATGCAGTAGCATAAACAATAATGGGCAGGCCTTGGAATGCCCGTGTAACACTTTTGCTTCACGAGCTGCACTGATTGCCAGTTTGTTTCCAGGTGTAATTCAAGATGTTGGTTGTTACCTGTAAGGCCTACATGGCATAGGGCCTGTTTACCTCAGAGACCATATATCTCCCGTAGTATCTATCCAGCTGAATCAATCTGGCAGGGTTGGTATGTTCTGAATTTTTTCAGTTCAATGCCATCTCATGGGAGATCAGAAGCTTGCCTTCTCTATAGTAGCACCTGCCCTATGGAATTAGGTTCCCCCTTGAGATCAAAACAGCCCCCACTCTGCTAGTATTTTGAAGGGGTCTGAAGAGCCTGGTTCTTCAACCAGGCTTTGGTAAGGATGACTGAAGCCTCCTTTTAACCTCGGTTGTTTTCTTTGGTTTTCATCTGGGTTGGAACCGAAAACGAAGAAGCTAAAGTCCTTGAGGCTTTAGAATTCAAACATATAAGCACCTGCCACATAACATTCCTGACTCAACAATTGCCAATAAGAAAGCCTGGATAGTGGACATGGCAGTACCTTGTGACAGGAGAAGGGAAGAGAAAGAACTGGAGAAAATCACAAAACACAAAGTCCTGCAAATAGTAGTAGAATGGCCGTGGCAAAAGAAAGCAAAGATAGTACCAATGATAGATAGATTACCTTGGGTGCAATCCCAAAACATTTGGAGCACCACTTAAACACCATCGGCATTGACAAAATCACCATCAGCCAGTGGCACTTTTATCTGGAACAGCTTACATCTTCCAACAGTACTTTTAACACTGTCAAACAATAACCTTTGCCTTTCCCAGGTTCTTGAGAAGGACTTGGTAGCTGGATAAAAATGTCAAATCCAGCCTAAACATCTGGCTGACTATGTGATAAACCGTGATAATAATTACAATTATTTTATAATATATTTAAAGCTGAGGCTTCCTTAGTGCTCTCTTTCTTGGAGAAAAAAGTATATGAATAAGTACTTCTTTCTGTTCAAACCCCTTAGCTACTATAATTTGGGGGGATTATGATAAGATGGGATAATAAAGAAAGAAAGGCAGAAGTGGAGAAAGCATTCCACTTGACCTATTATCTCAAGCAGAGACAGAGCAAGAATATTTTTCTTTGTTCCCTTTATACCATTAACTATTCATAGAAGGAGAGTACTTAAAGAGCTTCTATCTATATGCAAATATTTGGATATTCTTCCAAATGACTTTGGAGACTGTGGTTTTGAGCAGAGGAACTGGAAAAAAAAACCTTAATCGCTCTGTTGCTTTCTGCTCAATACAAACAGTGGATTCAGGTCCATGTGCTCGGTAGAATATGGGTCTCTTATCAAATGTGAGAAGAAAAGGGCTATATATTAGTGCTTATTATGGATAAAAACATGCATTGGAAAAGTCGTGAGAGAATGCTTTCTTTACTAGTCATAGAGGTCTCTTCAGTTCATTTCAAACTGGCAGATTCTGCTGGAAATTTCTTAACCACTTTCTCCTTGCTCTGTCATCATAATACTGAAATGTACTTGAATATTGTAGATAGTAATAATAAGGCAAACTAACAAGCAAAGTGCTGGAGCGCATAATACCAGACTTATCATTGGAAGGCAAAATTGTGAAATTTTGACCATGTCATGCAGGGGAATTCACTGGAGAAAGCAATTATGAGTCTCCGGAGAAGGGCGGCATATAAATTGAATTAATAAAATAAATAAATTATGTTCAGAAGAGTTAATGCTAAAAGGAAACCAGTCCGCCAAAAGAACATGGTGGCTGGACACTATCAACACTGACGACAGACAGAGCATAGAGAAACTCAAAGAAATAGTGCAAGATCAGAAGTTATGGAGAGACCTGATCATAGAATAGCCAGGAGTCGGACACAACTGAATAGATAACATCCTCATCCTCATCAATAAGGCAAATAAGACAGCAAAATCATAATCCTATCTCTATTACATCCATTCTCAGAAGGCCAATCAGAAGTGGCATGTTTTGTACAATAAGTACTTCTGCTATCTTAAAATATGTGGATGGTTCCATCTGAAGAAGAGTTAGCTGCCCTTACAAGCCACAATTACTAGGAACTGATGTGTACCAAAGAAGCAGAAGCAGTGTTGGGATTCAACTGGTTCGCATAACTTCGACGGAACTGGTTGTTAAATTGCTGGTTGGCCCCGCCCCATCCCTTCCAGAAATCCCCCTGCGGCCTGTTTTTGCTCCCAGGAGGCTGCAGGGAGGCCTACTGGGCCCAAAATGGGTCGTGGGGGGAAGGGGTGTCTCCCCCCTCCCCACGGCCTGTTTTTGCTCCCAGGGGGTGCAGGAGCCCGAGTGCTACCTGTCACCCCTGACCACGCCCACCCAGTCAGTCATTAGGGCAGAGAACCGATTGTTAAATTATTTGAATCCCACCACTGAGCAGAAACATAGGTACTTTGTAGAGGGTAGATAATAAGGCTGGATCCTGATTCCTGACTGTGTGAGTCATTAAGAGTTGGGACATCTATTTATGTGGTGATTGCTTTGATTTTTGAGTAGAGAGCTTTCTCCCTTGTGCAGATTGTATTTAAATAGAGAGCAGTAAGGAAGCAAATATTACAGGAATTGTAGATTCCTGATTTAGTTTGTTTGCATAAATGGAAGGGAAGAATCCTCTTCATGTAATCTTCCTGCTTCCCAGGTTTAAAGCTGTTAATATATAAAGGGAAAGCAGAGGATTAGCCTGTTGCTAGACAACATGCTAGACACTTTACAGCTAGCGATATAAAAAGTGAAGTATGTAAATGAAGCCCATGCTTAGATCTGTTGTGTCAACATGAATTAAACCAATATAGGGACTTGATCTGAAGAATCAATTTAAAGGATGACTCTAAAGAGCTACTGGTTCGTATGTGGAATAAATGTACTCTTCAGGAAAAGGAGAAATGGACACTTTTAGGGCTCTTTTGCAATTGTATTTTAGGCTAAAAATAATTGCAGTGACACTGTATTATTGCTTAGTCAGTATTTGTGGTGGCATTGAATTTTTATTGATTTGTTTTTGAGGTTGAACAGAGCTCAGTCTCAAAAGTTGTTCGTCCCTGCATAGTCTAACTCATTAAAATAGTTTTGTATCTCTTCTGGTTTGTATACGGGAGAGAGAGAGAAGAAAATATATACTTGTCGATCAGAAGGTCAGCAGTTAAGTGGTTCGAATCCCTAGCGTCATGTAACGGGGTGAGCTCCCATTACTTGTCCCAGCTTCTGCCAACCTAGCAGTTCGAAAGCACGTAAAAAAATCAAGTAGAAAAATAGGGACCACTTTGGTGGGAAGGTAACAGCGCCTCGTACGCCTTTGGCGTTTAGTCATGCCGGCCACATGACCATGGACACCTCTTCAGGCAACACTGGCTCTTAGGCTTAGAAACGGAGATACAACATTCAAATATTCACAGACACCACAGCTCCTGATGTTGGAAAACTGATAGTTCTTCCATTAGGAAGAGCGAGGTTGATGTTGAAAAGAGGCAGAAGCAGCCCCTGCCTTTCATGAATCACTGCCATTTTCCATCTGTTGGGGGACAGAGTTCTAAATATTGTGAACCCCCTAAACTAATGTTCTGACCTTAGGTGCACTGGAAGATAACTATCCTCTTACTGGTTGCAGTTCGGTTCACTAATGTACACGGAGAGATGCCAGTTTACCTGTTGCCAATCTTTGGCTGGCACAATAAACATAAGAAGATAAGCAATGATTACAGGAACAGTTCCCAATCATGGTAAGTTCCTGCAATTATTGAACTATCCCTATGGGGAAAATAAAAAAAGAATTGCTATCCTACATTAGCAAAATTGGCCTCCGTGAAATAAGTCATTCTGCTACTAACATTACTGTACAGTTTGGATTACACGAGGGATTTTATACTCATTGTATGATTTGGAACCAAGCAACTTGTAGTAAAATAAATTGAGGGTATAATTGCCTCCACCTAATTCTAAAGAGATGAGTGCTTTGGTAGCAAGAGAGTAATTTTTATAATACGGTGAACATTTGATCTATTGGTCCTCAGTTTAGCAAGCTTTGGATGCAATGGACAAAATCTGTGCTTGTATTACTGCATATGCTTCTATACATGGACAAAATCTCATTTGCCTTTTTATATATGCATAAAGTTCCATTCAGGCTTAATGAGCACTCTGCTTTAACTAATACCTCACAACTGCCTGTTATTATTTGTTTCTTTCTTTCTGCTACTGGCCAGAAGCTTAGCAAATAGTTTTAAATTTTAACTTTTTGGATGAAATTTCTAAAGAAATAGTGGTTTTCAGAGAGGGTATTTGAGGCAAACTTACTTCAAATAGTTGGACATCGGATTCCTGTAGGAATTAAACGGTTGTCAGACTGTATCAGATTATTTGGCAATAAACACTTGAGTTTATAGATCAGGAAAAGCTTCTCAGATTTGACATGGCTTAGATCAGTTGATTATTGCAAACAAAAATGAAGTAATCTGTTGTGTATGTGCATATATATACAGTATATATATATATATATATATATATATATATAGAGAGAGAGAGAGAGAGAGAGAGAGAGAGAGAGAGAGAGAGACATACACACACATATACATACAGACCAGTGGTGGGTTTCAAAATTTTTTACTACCGGTTCTGTGGATGTGGCTTGGTGGGCGTGGCATGGCTTGGTGGGCGTGGCTTGGTAGGTGTGGCAGGGGAAGGATACTGTAAAATCTCCATTCCCTCCTGATCAGCTGGGACTTGGGAAACAGAGAATAGATGGGGGCGGCGCCAGTCAGAATTTTTACTACCGGTTCTCCGAACTACTCAAAATTTCCGCTACCGGTTCTCCAGAACTGGTCAGAACCGCTGAAACCCACCTCTAATACACACATACACACAAATACATTTGTGTTTGTGTCACATCACACATACACACAAATACATTTGTGTTTGTGTCACATCACACATGCAGATAGACAAAGAAGATCTGGGAACATATATGTTAGTGTCAGAGTTTAAAGTCTAGACTTTTCCTCCTGTTGCTTTGAGTCAGTGGTATTTTGGTAATTCATTTCCTAGTCTTGAAAATTGTAGATATCTACTCCCTTTTTATATTAATGTCTGTCTGGCATCACCGATTCTTGCTTCACCGGCAGTAATCATCATAGTGGATATTATTAGACAGCCACTAATGTAATAAATGGGGCAGTTTTTGTAGATTTAACCTGCTATATGTTCACTACCTATGTAGAAATGTATATACTCAAGCATCAACAGATGTAACAGATAAGCAGTCTCATTTTATATTTATTTCTGAGGAATTCAAAAATAGGTGCTTATGAAATTAGATTGACGATCAAGTTCCAGGCAGAATATTTCTACTCAGTAAGAGCAAAATGCTTCTACTAGATCACATATCCAATGAAGATTATTGAATTAGACAGAGGGAGAGAACATTTTTTCTTACCCTCTGTGAACTATTCAAGTTCTTGAGTTTGGTATAAGAATGAAAATTGTAATGAGTTAAATGATTACAGTTGACAAGGAAAGAATTGGCTTCACATTTGGCCAAAATTTGTCAAAGGACTAATCGCATACTACAGTACTTTTAGGATTTTGACTTCAGTGCAGTCAACTGCAAGGTTCGTTGAGATGTATCTTATTGCTTGTTTATCATGTGGAGTAAAAACTTCAGTTTAGTAAAAAAAAAACCCAGCTGGAGCATTTAACAAATTGAGTTTGACAAACTGCCTCTGTTCATACAGATTTGCATAGCTGATGTTATAACAGCATTGATCTTTTGTCATTGTTGTTTTTATTATTTGCTAGTGATCATGTAAGGTATGTAATTTTACCTCTTAAATGCATTGCTTTTTCCATGCTAATTTTTCTACACCAATATTTAAGCATTAAAGAGGCATATTAGGGCATAGGCTGATAATGAATACTCCCAATATATTAATCGGTGATACAAAACATGCGGAAAGCATACGATCCAAATTATAATTGTTGTTAGATTTTTGCAGAGCCAAACAAAGCATCCCAAACAAAAAGAATACACCGAAGAATCTTTAAAAAATAATGTTATGTACAGAATTATTATACTGCAATGTTATGAAATCAGTAGAGAGCATTTTTGTTTTTCAGTAAATAATCGTGAGCGAGATTCAAGATTCTTCCACCCCCCCATACCATCACACTTTCTCTTACTCTGCCTTCCCTAACATTTATATTTAAATTTTAATTGAATTTCTCCCCATATGATAGATGTAGATTTAATTCTTTGGTTTTTTTAATATGGAGAGAATAAAGTTTTATGTCCTTAATCATAAAAAAAATGCATTAACTCTTTCTCCTCATAATTTTAATTCTAGAAAGACGGTTGTTAGCAGTATTTCAATGTTTATTATGGTTCTCATATGAACTAATTAATCAGGCTATATCAGTTCTTGAGATCTTTTGCAAAATAAAGTGTCTGGTTCCTTATATCTTTATATTTTGTCTGTAGGTTGTAGGAACACGTAGAATGAGTTAATTATCTAATGCTATGTTTTTGTATAATGTAATCATTTAGTGTTTATTTTATTGTGTGTACCTTCTACTCAGAGGGTTGGCATTATTGTTCCTAACAGTGATGGATACAAGCAGATCATGCCCTATGACCTCTACCATCCTCTTCCTCGGTATGTAAACCAAATACTCTATTTAGCAATAAGAAACTGTTTTTTTGTGTTTTATTGGCAAGCTAATAGAGAGATAGTCATTCATGTTCTTAATTCTGGTGCTTTTTCTGCATTGTTTTCTGATTTTCTTTACAATTCAAGCAAAAGATGACTTTCTCTTGTCCTAAGTATTCATACAGAATAATTGTTCATGACCCAAAAATCAAGGTATTTTTTCTTCTTCCCCCTGAAAGTTCACATGAGACTAAGATAAAATTTCATAGTCTTCCTCCTAAAGCAACAGCATGGATAAATTTGCTAAGTGAACACTTGAATTTTCATTGGATTTATTTTCTTAGTTGCATTTGTAGTCCAGTCAAAAATGCATTTAAGGACATTTTCATAACATTAAGAAGTTATAACATTTATCTCTTTATTAGAATTATCATCTTCATTTCAAATATTCAAAATCAAGATTTTATGACCCACATAAATCAATTGTGGGAGACCTTAATCTCAGGCTGGTGCTATTGAATACCAGTCCTATCCATAAAGACCACCTTGGTCATTGATTTAATTGTACACAAAAATATAGAGATGGTGTTTATCACTGAAACTTAGGTATGTTAGAAAGGTGGGCATGATTAAAATATACCTATCTGGATTTCATGGGATGAATCAGTCTCAACCCCAAAGGAGTGGAGAGCTAGTGGTGTGTGTATAGGCAGGTCTGGATTATAACTGGAGCTCTGTTCTATCGATATTGGTGCGAGCCCCTATATATGCAGTGGGGTAAGGGAGAAGCTGGGAATGTTTCTCTTGTACCATCTTTCTTCTCTATTCACGTAGCATCCCTGCCATGTAGCATCCCTACTTGAACCATCTTGTGTTGGTACATATGTATACATATAAATTTATATGCTTAGTGGGGAAAAGAGAGGGTGTTATTTCTGATTCCTGCACTAAAGAAACTTCAAAATAGGAAATAATAATGTGATGTATTGTTCAAAATACATTAAAATGCTTTCAAATCTTCAACAGCTGAATCACCAATCTAAGTGAAACCATATTTTAAATGGAATATGGTTTTTATGGAGTGTCTTATTAATTACTATAGGATATAGTTTAAGTAATTGCAAATAAACAATTTTTTCCTGGATAACCTGGTCCCAAGCCATGTAGCTCATGGAAGGTGACAACCAGCACCTTGAATTGCAGCTGGAAGCAGATTGGCAGCTAATGCAGGAGAAATGACATCTGTGCACATCTGCTCAAAACTATGTGGGCGGCTGCATTTTGAACCAATTTGAGCTTGATACTTTTCAAGGGCAGCCCCATATCAATAAAGAACAATATTTGTAGTTCAGGGTTGAAATGAGGGATCCTTGGTGCTCTCTGAGCTTACTTGTTTTCTTGCAGATGTTTCATTATCCTAACTAGGTAACATCATCAGTACTAGTGCTAGCTAATGAAACGTCTGCAAGAAAACAAGCAAGCTCAGAGAGCACCAAGCAGCCCCATATAGAGAGCATTGCAATAGTCAAGACAGGAAGTGATTAGGGCTGTGATGGTGAGCCTATGGCACTTGTGGCATGTGGAGCTATATCGGTGGGCATGCAAGCTCAGCTGCGGTGTGCGCAACTGATTTTCGGGCCTTCTGGGCCCACCAGAAGTCAGGAAACAGGCTGCTTCCGGCTTCCAGGGGATGGAGAAGGCCCATTTTTTGCTCTTCCCAGGCTCCAGAGCCTTTCTAGGAGCCTGGGGATGGCAAAAACGGCCTTCTCCCCTCTCCCGGAGGCACTCCAGAGGTTGGAAACGGCCTGTTTTTCACTCTCCCCAGGCTCCAGAGCCTTTCTAGGAGCCTGGGGAAGGCGAAAACGACCTTCCCCACCCCCCCAGAGGCCCTCCAAAGGCTGGAAACAGCTCGTTTGCTGACTTCCGGTCCCACTCCCAGAAGTCGGCAAATGGGCAATTTCCGGCTTCCGGAGGGCCTCTGGGGGGGTGGGGAAGGCCGTTTTTGCCCTCCTAAGGCTCCTAGAAGGGCTCTGAAGCCCGGGGAGAGTGAAAAACAGGCTTTCTGATCCCATCATGTGCCAAAAGTGGGGGGAGCAGGGGGGGTTGCATGCACATGTGCAGGGGGTGGGGAGCATAGAATTATGCATGTGGGCACACTCCCGCACTCCTCCCACTTTTGGCACACAATGGCAAAAGGGTTAGCCATCACTGGACTAGAGCATGAGTGACATACATAGATACATACTTACATATAAACATACACATATACGCATATGCACACATTGTACATACATACTACAATATTTGAAAAATCTACTGGTAACACTGGTCTACAAGGAGAAAGCCTTGGAAATGAAAGTACACATTTTATCTCGGAGGCTGATAATTTCCCAAAATTTGTAGACCAGTGTAATAAAGAATGATAGAAGCTTCAAAGTTTCTTTAGCATTATATACTGTAGCATGCGACTATTTAATGGAATTCCAATTTCCTATGAAAAATTCAGTAGCTTACTTAGTTTATGTCATGTTATAGACTCATTCTTAAACCCAAATCATTTTTATCAGAAATTGGACATTTCAAAGCCAAGTAGTGGCTGATGGACCATTGGGTATGCAAGCAAGTAATAGGCCAGGGCTTTGCTGCTTCTACTAGGGAAATGCCACTATAGACTGAAGTACTTGCAGTTACACAGCCCAGATATGGTTGCCTTTCCTCTGAACTGTTGTGTTGTTTTGAAGGTGGGAAAGCACCCCGTGGACTGCCTGCTCTTCTTCCTGCGGAGGAGGCATTCAAAGCCGCACAGTCTCTTGCGTGGAAGAAGACATCCAGGGATTGGTCAGCTCGGTGGAGGAGTGGAAGTGCATGTACACTCCCAGGATGCCCATTGTTCAGCCTTGCAATATTTTTGATTGTCCTAAGTGGCTGGCTCAGGAATGGTCTCCGGTAATTATGTTCTTTTCATTATTGAACTATATATTTACAGTAGTATATAGTAGTTATATAAATATAAATATATATCTATTTATAGTATATATAGTAATTATATAAATATAACTACTATATTTACTATATAGTAGCTGAAATAAAGTCATTGAAATGTCTGCATTATGAAAATACTTACAATCCTTTCAGCATTGGTACACATATGTAAGTACAGGAATGGAAAAAAAGGGCTAGTTTAATTAAAGGTTATGCAGCAGAGGTGGGTTTTAACAGGTTCTGACCAGTTCTGGAGAACTGGTAGTGGAAATTTTGAGTAGTTCGGAAAACTGGCAAATACCACCTTTGGCTGGGCCCAGAGTGGGGAGGGAATGGAGATTTTGCAATATCCTTCCCCTGCCACGCCCCCAAGCCATGCCCCCAAGCCACATCACGCCCACCAAGCCAAGCCTACAGAACCGGTAGTAAAAAAAATTGGATTTCACCATTGCTTTCAACACTGCCTTATCAACTGCGAGTCTGCTGTATATTTTTTTTTATTGCTGACTCCTTTACTGTTGATAGTCAATCCTAAAAGGTAAAGATTGTCCATCTTATTCACTGTCAGTCCTAAGGTCCTAAATCCTCAGTTTCAGAAAGTAAAGGGAGCTAAGACGAGAGGCTCTGCTTTTCAGTAGCAGCACCAGCTCTCTGAACAATCTCCCAATGGAGTTCAGACTGCCTTCCTCCTTGATTAAATTCAGGAAAATGCTGATGACTGCACTGTTCCATAGAGCCCTCTAGTTAGGTTTGACCTTTTTTGTTTTTTATTGATCAATTTCATTTGGGGGAGTTGATTTTTTTAATTGCTTCTCATTGTTACTTTGATTTTGACCATGAATGTTTTAATTTTGTCCGCATCATGTAAACTGCTGAGAATTTATTTTGATTGCGGCAGGATATAGACAAGTAAATAAGGCACTGATTTGCCTATGTGGTAGAGTGTTTTAGATGGCTGTAGGCCAAAAAGTAAAAGCTGAAATATTTGATCAGTAAGAGAAAGGGGAAGAGAACCAGCAGTAAATGACAACAATATATCAGAAGAAAGGCTGCAGTAAAAAAAACAACAACTGCCTTGTAGCATCTGAAAGGCTTTCTCCTTGGCAAAATAGAATTCTTGAATTTCTCCTGGTGGTATTCTGAAGATTACTTTATTGATGGAGTAATGAACAACAGTAATGCATTACATGCATCTTTCCATCAGCCTGAAACCTTGGCTACTACACTTCCCAATCTGAAAAAGGGCCAGCAGGAGGAGGAGTTGCATCACAATGTCTTCCTTTGGATTTAATTAGAGGTTTGGAAGCTAGATAGAGTGCAGACTCATGGAAACACATGGTTCAGCGAAAGGCAGAACATTCATCACTAATTAATGGCCCTCTTGTGATGAAATAAATGTACAAACACCACCCACCACCCATGTAACTTTCACTAAAATGCTTTCTCAAGAGAAAGATGAGCCTGAGTGGCGTAGGAGGCTAATGCCTCCTAAGGCAGCATTTAACATCCAGCTGCCTGCAATTACTGCGAGTTCAATTCTCACCAGGCTCAAGGTCGACTCAGCCTTCCATCCTTTCTAAGGTGGGTAAATTGAGGACCCAGTTTGTGGGGGCAATAAGATGACTTTGTATAAATATACAAAAGTATGATGGCTATTGCTTAACGCATTGTAAGCCACCCTGAGTCTCCGGAGAAGGGCGGCATATAAATCAAATTAATATGTATGTATGTATGTATGTATGTATGTATGTATGTATGTATGTATATATATATATATATATATATATATATATATATATATATATATACACATATATATTTGAAAAGCAAATTTTCTTTAATTCAACTCAATGATAATTATTTTCTACAATATTCATATCAACAAGGTTACATGGGATTGGCAGTTGGTATCAAAAGCCAACTATATACAAATCAAACATTTGGACAGTCCATGAGACCATTCAGGTTCTGTTTCTCTTCCACATGGCCAGTTAAGGGATGGAGCAGCAAACATATTCATGATTATTAATGGAAATAATTGATTATGGTTTTCCTTTCAGTGCACAGTGACATGCGGCCAGGGTTTGAGGTATCGAGTAGTTCTGTGCATTGATCACCGAGGGATGCATACCGGTGGCTGCAGTCCTAAAACAAAACCGCACATCAAAGAGGAATGCATTGTCCCTACTCCGTGTTACAAGCCAAAAGGTAAATTAACAAGCAGCCTAATCCTGGCAAGCAGTTATTGAAAATAAGTGCATTTTCCCCCAGTGGGAAGATGATTGGACTTTTGGGTTGTGTAGCTGAGAGCTAATGCCTGAGGCTTCATTTAAGGAGCCAATACTGATTGTCATGCTTTGACAAAAACAGATTTCCTGGCAGGAACCTTAAGCCTATGTAATCACTCTTAAGCTCTACTTGTCTGTAATATGGTATCTTTATGGATGGAAGAAAGACAGAGGAAAAGAAAATGCTATTACCACAAAGGAAGTAAGAGGGCTAATATATTTTGGTAATAAAATTAGGGATAAATTACTCTTGAGCAGATGTGGATCCACTGATCAAGATTTAACTTATAATATCCGCAAAATTGAATTCATGCTTTAGTATTCACTTCTTTCCTGAACTAGCGTACCAATCTTTGGCTGAGAAGTATTGGATCAGTTAGCCACTATTTTGTTCTACTAGTAAATTGTTAATTTTTGCCAAGTGCTACTAAAGAGAAAATAGGTCCGGTATTTATTACCATATTTTTCACAGTATGAGATGCTCTGGACTATAAGACACACCTACCTTTTGGGAGGAGGAAAACAAGAAAAAAAAAATCTGCCTCTGCCTCCCAGCATCCATCGGGCATTCATCTGTCCCATTTGCTGCAGCCCATTTGCCGCGGCCCATATTGAGTCCTCTAATAAATTCGTTCAGCTACATTTAATACTTAAGTCAATCTTGCTAGGAAAGTTATTGTTTGAATACCTTAAAAGAAGAAGGTCCCATGAAAGATGATTTAGTAATATCAGAGGAGAAAACAAAAGTTTATAGTGAAATATTTACAGCATGATATTCATATGGCTTTTACAAATAGTACAATAAGCCATTTGCCCCCTGAATTCAGATGATTTCATATTGCTTTTGAGTGTGACTATCAATTTGCTATGGATTGATTTTCATACCTTTTTCCTTTGACCCTGAATGGCCAGTGCAGCTCCATAGTTTAATACAGATGTATGTTCCCATGAGAACATAATTTGGCTCCTCAACTGAGTATTTTATCAAATGCTTTTAATGCATTTCCCTGATACCGATCTTGGAGGGGAAAGATAGAGAATGGTGCTGTTTTATCTCAAAAATGACAGTAAGACTTTTTAGCTCAGTCTTTGAATCCACAATGTTGATGAACTGATAAACTCTGACTACAAGGGCATCATCAAACTATTTTTAGTTTTCTGTTTGTTGAACCATCATTCATCACATCTGCATTTTCTTCTGTGTCATAATAAGCTACCAACGTGGAATATAGCAGAACCCTTTTTATAGACTTATAAAGAATTATTGCCCCCCCCTTTTCCCCCCTCACTTTGGGCCAAGCAGTGCTGAACTGCATAAGCCTACTAACTTGGAATCACTTTGTACACTTCAAAGAAAAGTACCCTTGTGTACAATACTTCCTATCACTAATAATAATCATCTTCTCCATTTTGGAGATTTCCATAGTATTGGACAAATATGAAACGAAAAAAACCCCCTCATCTTTCACACTGGAAAATGTATGGGCAGTGCCAAGCTTATACATTTCTTGACAGAACTATGTCAAATGGAATTAAACCAAGATAGGAAGATATATTTTGGCTCACAGGCAACCCTCCATGCTTTTCCTTTTGCACAATCCCGGCAGTTTTTAATTAAGCATGGGTGTCTATCTTTTGCTGCAGGAAATCTACCATTAACTAAAATTTGCCTATGTTTTGAAGTTGGTTTAACATCTTGACCTTTTCTAAAATTATTAACCATGCTTTTCTGATTTAGATGAAATAGGAAACTACAGTTAATTGAAGAAGTACTCGCTTTCCTCTTTCTCTTATAGGAGCAGAGCAAAGGGCAATATGCATAGCCAGAAGGCTCATTCATATCTCATCTTATTAAATTTAGTCTGATTGTGTGAAATAACATTTCAGGGAGCTTTATACTATGCAAGCATTGTCTAGGTGCACTAATGATTGGATTGGCAGATACTTAGCAAATATGGAATAAAAGCAAGGTAATTCCTCTTTAGATAAGTTACAAAAGAGGATTAAGTTTTTTAAAGTACATTATTTTTGCATGTTTCCTATTTCCCTATGATTGTTTTTCTAGAAAAACTTCCTATTGAAGCTAAATTGCCATGGTACAAGCAAGCTCAGGAGTTGGAAGAGGGAAGGGCAGTTTCTGAAGAACCAACGTAAGTTTTAAAACATTATCTGCTAGAATCATTACACTTGAGGATCCAAGCAGCACATTGCAATTTTTATTTATTTATTTATTTATTTATTTATTTATTTATTTATTTATTTATTTATTTATTTATTTATTTTATGTATGTATGTATGTATGTATGTATGTATGTATGTATGTATATATGTATGTATGTATGTATTTATTTATTTTGTCAAGCATGTATTAGATAACAGATATAAGTATAAACATGATTATTGTTCTGCCCCAGCTACGGACCCCAAAAAACGCAGCACACACAAAGTCCGTACAAACCTTAATTTACTAATTAAAGACTACTAATGAGCTTTCTTAGTAGTTGTTCGAACACAAGTACAATAAAACAGTCTTTTCTGAACAAGGGCTGTTAATTTAACTTCATTAACAGCTGACAAGAATTCAAAGAATAATAACTCATGTCTGAGGCACAGTATTTCAGATAACCATAATCTTACTGTGGTTGGCAGAATGCCCAGAAACAATTTGCAGGAAAAATGATAAGAGACAAACAAGAGCCAAATCAAACGTTTTCTGGAATGAAGTCACGAAGGAATTTGAACAAAGTTGTTTCCTGCAAATTGGATCAGTCGTCATCCTTCCTTAAATAGGCTAAGGGAGTGGCCAATTAGCCTCAAGCCTTATTCTCGAGGAGATCTCCTCCTGAGGAGCCACTCTTGCCTTTTTGCAGCTCTGTGCGCTCATGCATCAAGAAGAGGCTCCTCCTCTTCTTCCTCTTCACTTATGGGAGCTTCTGGAGGTTCTGAAGGCCCTGGCTGAATCCCCGCCTCTGGCACCACATCTTCTCCAGCCTCCTCATTGTCTGACTCGAGTGCCAACTGCACAGGCTGCTGGCGCAGCACCATACCAGCCTCCTCGCTGTCGGAATCAGCTACTAACTGCACAGGCTGCTGATGGGCCACAACAATTATGAATACATGAAATAGATACAAATAAAAGGGAACATTAGGACAGGGACAGTAGGCACACTGGTTGCGCTTATGCACGCCCCTTAAAGACCTCTTAGGAATTGGGTGAGGTCGACAGTAGACAGTCTAAGGTTAAAGTTTGGGGAGTTTGGGGAAGAAACCAAAGTGTCAGGTATTGCATTCCAGGCATTAACAACTCTGTTACTGAAGTTGTATTTTCTGCAATGAAGTTTGGCACACTTTACCATAAGTTTGTATCTATTGTGTGCTCGTGTATTGTTGTGGTTGAAGCTGAAGTATTCATTGACAGGTATTCATTGACCATTCATTGACATTATATATGATGTAAGAATTACAATGTGAAATAGACTAAAATCTGCCTGGAGCTAAGATATTTTTTATGGATTTCAAAATACTGTACTATCCAATTTGTATTGCATTTACTGATGTATACTGTCTATGAAGAATTAAATCACAATCAATATGGTATAGTTTTGTGCCTGGATAGTTGATTCATGGAAGCGTCATCTTTAGGGGTTTTTACTCTTGTAGCAGCTTTTTTCATTTATAATTAATGTACTTCTCCTAAATGTTGATGTCTTGTTTTGATTTAGTTGCTTGAATAGTATAGTGCAAATAAAGAAGAATATTTGTAGCTCAGGGTTGAAATGAGAGGTCCTTGGTACTCTCTGAGCTTGGTTGTTTACTTGTAGACATTTTGTTACCCAAACTAAATAACACTGATGATGGAAACAACCAAGCTCAGAGAGTACCAAGGACCCCTCAGTACAGTACAAACTTCCCATGTGCCCATATGCTTTAAATTTCATGTTAGATTAAGATCATTCATGTAACTCAACTTGATACCACAAAAAATGTCTCCCTTTGTGGCCTACTAATAGTTAATTTAGATGTTACATCTAGGCATGAGGAATTTCATCTTCAAGCATACAGTTTTTAAAAAATTTCAAGAATTGCATTGTGGCTTTCTCTGAACTCATATAGTTATTCACCAGGTAGCCATCATTCTTTTATTTCCAGTATTCAGCTGAAAGTCTCAATGCTTAATATAGCAAAATGGCACCATAGCAAATCTAAGAAAATTTGGGAAACTGTGAGTTCAAAGGCTTAATTTAGCCAAGTGGGAATCAGTGATTCTCAGGTCAGACAGAATCATTATGTAAACATGAAGAGAATGTTTCCATCTCTCTAGGCCAAGAAAAGAACAACCCAAAGTCTACTGACTCAAAAGGACAAGTGGAAAAAAAAGTCTAGGATAGAGTTCAGGAAAGTAAATATCTATTGATATGCTAGGTGAAATAGAACAACTAGATTTGATTTCAAAGGAAAAAAAACTACGGAAAAAATACATTTTTCCTGAAAAAAAAATGTAATAACTTTTTGAAGGTTTTCTTTTCATGGTATTTTTGATAAATCACGAAGGTAGCAAATTGGCTTCAATTCTTTAAGTAGCAACTCAGAAAAAATCAGAAGCACAAGATTGCGAACAGATAGGAGTGACTATTGAATGTATTTTTGAAGATCAGTTTCTACCTTTCAACCAGTGGTGAAATCTAAAATTTGTTACTACCGCTTCTGTGGGCGTGGTTTGGTGGGGGTGGTAATGTGACTGGATGGGCGTGGCCATTTTTTTTTCTTTACTTTTAAAACCATTTTTTACATGTAAAACCATGTAAAAAAATGCTTTCAAAAGGCTCTGACAATCCCAGCTGAGTTGCCTGATCGTCAGAGAGTTTTTAAAAAACGCTCTGCCGATCAGGCAACTCAGCTGGGATCGTCAGAGCTTGAATCGTCAGAGCCATTTAAAAGAAAAAAACTTTTTTTCTTTTAAATGGCTCTGATGATCCAAGCTCAGTTGCCTGATTGGCAGGCAACTCAGCTGGGATCGTCAGAGCTTGGATCGTCAGAGGCATTTAAAAGAAAAAAAGCCTCTGATGATTGTGCGGCTCAGCTGGTCATGGGAGGCGGGGGCAGGAATTTTTGCTACCGGTTCTCCAAACTGCCCGCTACCATCGCTACCTTCTCGCCGAGCCGGTCCGAACCAGAAGCATTTCACCCCTGCTTTCAACTCATATGTACATATGGATTTGATTCACTTTTCATTTTCTTCTAGAGGAAGATCTTTCAGATAATCAGAACACTACATTTCACTTTGCAAACCAATGACATTTTAGATCTGGAATATATCTCTGTATATTAGGCTGCTCTGTGTTTATGCACACATCCCTTGCTAAATCTTTCATGTGCGCTTGATCTTTTACTGCACCATTGATAGATTTCCACTCATGCCAAAACAAATTATGTCCAAAGATACTTATAAAAAAAACCGTATATTTTTTTTCTACATAACTTGATATACCATAAATAACAGAGTATTTCATTTCTCTGCTGTGACACAGTGACTTTGCCATGACTAGAAAAGCATTTCTTTATTTGCTTATTTTATAATAATGCTTCGTTGAAATATCATTACTTGCACACGCATACACACATGTCACACACATACAGTGTTGTGAATCATGATGAATCTAATCCCTATAACTTTGTCTCCATATGGTTACAATAATATGGAGAGGTAGACCAAAGGGAGTCAATCGGTTAAGCCTTTCCAGGAGAAATTTCCATTAGTCTGGCAAAAGTCAACTTGTGTGAGAGTTCCTGTTGTTCAGAATCTCATCCCTGCTTTGGACAACTCTGAGATTCTTCAGAAAGTGAGGAAGAGAGAAGTTGCAGGAAGAAAGTTTTTTCCTGACTATTACAGGTCACAACTGAGCCATCAGAGTTGAAAGCATCCGATAATACAACTCATAAATCTGTCTGGGGCGGTTTTAAAACCAATGTGGCTGGTGTCTTCCATTACTATGCTAGGAAACAATTTCAGATTTTCTTTCCTCTGAATATTGGAAAACTTTTTCCCCCCCTCATCCATTGTTGAAGTGTGTCACTAGGCTCTCTAAAATTAAAAGAATATTTCCCTTCTAGTTTCCATAAACAATTATTTTGGTAAAAGAATCTTCTGTTGTTCATAAACATATCCTTATTCTGCTCTTGAATTGACTTCAAAGAAGTACACAGCATCGAGAAAGGTTATATACAAACTCACTGCGTAAGTGGTGTGTGAATATGTCAGAGAGCGAAAAAAAAACTATTAGAGGAAATACAGTTAGTCTTCAACTTACAACCACAATTGGGATCAGAAAATTTGTTGCTAAATGGCACAGCTGATTTTAGACTTGTTTGCTGTGACCGGTAAGCAAATCACCCGGATCATTAAGCAAGACATCAGATGAACTTGATTTGCAACCTTTCCTGCCAGCTTCCACATTGACTTTGCTTGTTGGAAGCCACCTAGGAAGTTTGCCCATCACGACCACATGTCCACAGGGTGCTTGAACCGTTATACATACAAGCTGCTTGCCAAGTGCCCAAATCATAGACTTGTGAGTGCAGGGTTGATGTAACCTTGAGGGTAGGTCATAAGTCATTGTTTTTCAAGCCGTTGTAATGTCAAACCATCATTAAATGAATGGCCGTAAATTGAAGATTTCCTGTATGGTATACATGGGGTGATACAAAATGTGAGGGAGACTTCATTTGGAAATGGAAGAAAATATGTGATATTTCACCTAATTTTTATCACATAAAATATGTGAGGTTTAGTTGGTGTACTGGTTAAGGTGCTGGCCTGGAAACCAGGAAATCGTGAATTCTAATCCTATCTTAGACATGAAAGCTGGCTAGATGATCTTGGCCCATTCTCTCCTCTCAGCCCAATTCACCTTATAGGCTTGTTGTAGTGGAGAAAATAGAAGGACGGAGGAGTAGTAGGTATGTTTGCCACCTTGAGTTATTTATAAAAATACTAAAGGTGATAGACAAATAAATGTGATGGAAATTAAGAATCCATAATATCATAGTTGTTGTTGTTTTTAATTTACTTAGGAACTTGGAGGTTACCTTATCCCAAATTCTATCAAAACCACTTTATCATCTAAAATAGATTTAAAATTTAAAATAGTTG